CACCCATGAAAGCTTATGCTCCAATACTTCTGTTAGTCTTAGGGCAGGTCTTCACTATGGGGGGGAGGGGGGGCGTCGATTTAAGATACGCAAATTCAGCTATGCGAATAGCGTAGCTGAATTCGACGTATCGGAGCCGACATACCCCGCTGTGAGGACGGCGGCAAAATCGACCTCCGCGGCTTCCCGTCGACGGCGCTTACTCCTACCTCCGCTGGTGGAGTAAGCGCGTCGATTCGGGGATCGATTGTCGTGTCCCGACGAGACGCGATAATTCGATCCTCGAGAGATCGATTTCTACCCGCCGATTCAGGCGGGTAGTGTAGACCTAGCCTTAAAGGTGCCACAGGACCCTCTGTTGCTTTTTACAGATTCAGACTAACACGGCTACCCCTCTGAAGCTTGGATGTGTGTCTATTGGTCTTAAGTTGCATATGTGGGAAACAGTGAAAGTCATCTGGCTAGCTAATTGAGCATGAGCAGCTAGATCATAGAAGCACAGAGTTCCCCATGTCAGATGGAAGCACTGAAGTGCTAAAAGGATGGATTATATGGGGAAAAGTTCATGTCACAAATTCTGCCAGCTAGCACAAGCGTGATTTGAAAATAAGCAAAACGAGGCTGTTCTTTAAACACCTCCCCTCAAATTTTTTAGTCAATAAAAAAACAAATGGTTCATCAGCATTCTGGTTCATCGAAGGACGTGATCATTCCCCTCTATTCGACATTGGTGAGGCCTCATCTGGAGTACTGTGTCCAGTTTTGGGCCCCACACTACAAGAAGAATGTGGAAAAATTGGAAAGAATCCAGCGGAGGACAACAAAAATGATTAGGGGGCTGGAGCACATGACTTATGAGGAGAGGTTGAGGGAACTGGGATTGTTTAGTCTGCAGAAGAGAAGAATGAGGGGGGATTTGATAGCTGCTTTCAACTACCTGAAAGGGGGTTCCAAAGAGGATGGATCTAGACTGATCTCAGTGGTAGCAGATGACAGAACAAGGAGCAATGGTCTCAAGTTGCAGTGGGGAAGGTTTAGGTTGGATATTAGGAAAAACTTTTTCACTAGGAGGGTTGTGAAGCACTGGAATGGGTTACCTAGGGAGGTGGTGGAATCTCCTTCCTTAGAGGTTTTTAAGGTCAGGCTTGATAAAGTCCTGGCTGGTCCTGCTTTGAGCAGGGGGTTGGACTAGATGACCTCCTGAGGTCCCTTCCAACCCTGATATTCTATAATTCTATGATTCTCTGTTTCACACATTTCTATGAGTAAATTGTTTATATATTTCTCTCAGGTAAATACAGATTTTACCTGGTAATTATTTGTACATGACAGGTTCCAGAGCTCCATATCATCACTATTAGAGCTCTCTGGAGAATGATAATTCCATTTTACAGCAACATTTGAGGTCTTCAAATTTATGAAAACACACATTTTTGCACAATGGAATTCTGTCAGCTGAGCATTTCAATTTGGAAAAGCTGGGGTATGTTTGTGTGGGCTGGTGGATCACTTTTTGAAATCTCAAAAATTCTCGTGGGACAGGAAAGCGGTTACCCACCCAGCTCTAGTGCCAATTTACCCTCTTCTACCTACCTACATTTTCCTTGGTGTGATGAAACATACTGAGCAATTTCAAACATAGTATACACCTATATATTTCTGTGATGAATCTGCGCAGCTGAGACCTTGATATCATCTTCTCTAACCTATTTGGCGAGACGGATTTATATAAATAAGACACCATTCCTGCTGGAAGGAAGCTTCATTTTTAAACTCATGCTGTGCATTTTTAAAATGCTTTGACTGATCATTTTGACTTTTCTTGGGTTTTCTACCAGTCAATTAAGAAAACTATAAAAGACACAGGATGGTCTTGTGGTTAAGGCAGTGAACTTGGATGATCTGGATTCACTTCCTGTAATTGTTGACAAGTCACTTCATCGTTCTGTGTGTCAGTTCCCCACTGGTAAAAGAGTTCCTTTCTCCCACCCTTTATCTGTCTTCTCTATTTATAATAATAATATAATAATATATGGAGATATACCTATCTCCTAGAACTGGAAGGGACCCTGAAAGGTCATTGAGTCCAGCCCCCTGCCTTCACTAGCAGGACCAAGTACTGATTTTGCCCCAGATCCCTAAGTGGCCCCCTCAAGGATTGAACTCACAACCCTGGGTTTAGCAGGCCAATGCTCAAACCACTGAGCTATCCCTCCCCCCATATTTAGACTGTAAGTTGTTTGAGGCAAGGACTGTCTCTTACTATGTCCATATACAGCACTTTTCTCAATGAAACCCTTATCTCAGTAGGGACCTCTAGGCACAACAGTAATACAAATAAATAATATAATTTAAAAACCACACAAATCTGTGGCAAAATACAAAATGTAGGGTATTCAGTATTCTTGATCCTCACTTATGGCATATTTTATTGTTTTTGCTCCAAATACAGAACTCCTGTTGACATCAGTGGGAGTTTTGGGTACAAAATGAATAAACAGAAATATGCA